CTTGTTCCCAGATTACGTTCGCATAGAAACCAAACTTTAGTTTTTTGCAGTGGATTTCACTCATTTAGTAATTCTTTGATTAGTTATGTAGGGCAATGGTGGGTCCAGCTCAGTCACAGTTTGCTGGATTAAGTTAACTGAGTGAAAGAATGACAACAGTGGCACAATCACATCTAGGTTGTCATGTTATTTCCTCATTCGGATCTTGAAAAATATGATATTTGTAGCTGCCGGTTTACAATGAACATCGACCGGAAGGTTCGGGTACCCCAAGTTAGAATACCGACGAGCACTGAGGTGTGGTGATCCAACTCCCATTGCATCCTCCCGCCAAATTTGACATCGTTATGATGTCATCGAGAAACCAGTGCTTTAACGTGTAGTATTATATTATGCCCTTAAAATTGACACGCATGGCGTAGTAGACGTATTCACTTCGTTGTTGACAAAGAATTTGATTGGCTCCAAGTTGCTGGGGTTAATCTTCAACAACTGGCAAATCGCTTTGAAGGGTGGCGTAAGGTGTGTGTAAGGTTTGAGAGGTCTTTTTTCTTCGTATTCAGAAGGGCTGGTGGGGTGCTAATAGAAATCCCATGAAAGGTAGACGGTGTCATTAGGTTGGTGGCTCTAATATTTGCCAGACTGAACGGAGCGCACAGATAAACTTGAAATCCACATAAATTTCCTGGAGCTGCAGAAGACTAAACCATTCTGGGTCATTGCGATAAGCCAAACTGATTCACTTTTAAGGAAGGAATGAACTTATAAATAGACTGAATTTGTAGATTTTTAAGGTTGAATTTGCCTTGGAAACAGCGATATCTGGTTGCAAGATTGTCCCATTGATAAATCTACCCACTACAACGTACCACAGTCCAAGGAAGTTAAGCAGCTCCTCCTCATGTGTTTCGCATTTGATTCTGAAAACGACTTTTAACTCCATAAAATTTAGACTTTGTTACATTTGCACACGATTTGCCCCAACCTCCTCGGACTTAGCGACCACAAACAGCCGTCCAGACAACACGATTCTGGATAGGTTGACCTATTCTCTGTCGGCGTTTACTGTGGCCAGGTCAACTGACCTGATTGATGGAAACCGCATGTTTAGCCTTCATGTGGGACACGTATCATCACCACTGCCCTTGTGGAGATATTTTGGCAACTACCGCCTGTTTACATCAGATCACTCCTCTAAACCAGTCCAGGCTGATTTTAGCCAAGTTGATAGAACTCTTGAGGGAGGGAAGGGCAACATGAGCTTGCTGTTAAACCGTTGAAATTTTAAGGCTTTTTTAAAATAATCTTAATACTTCCGTAGGATGCTACTGTTTCGTCCATTGAAATCCACCTCGACTGCTACCAATGTCTTGGGAAAATTGAGAAATGGTGTTTGAATTACCTCCAAAGTCGATATGGAACACAGTAGACGATTAAGACCTGTAGGGGGAGACAGGCGATACTCGAGAGGGAGGGCCTTTCGTATAAACATAGAGGAGATCCTGCGTGTCATTCAGATGAGAGAATCTATTATTTCGTTACGATTTTAGTGCTGGTTAATTGACTCTCCAACCTGTCCTCTCTATTTTCCGACGTTGAAAGAAGTCATCAAGGCCCTAACATTTCATCCATAGGCTCTTTTTTTGAACAATTCTAACTCATCTCACTCTGATTTGCCTCTACTACTAGCAACAAAACAAAACCTAATCAAACTAATCGCCAAAATTCGACATGTTTACAAGCTCTTCTGTTGTGGATCTCCACAGATACAGTCAGCGACAGATGGTACACTTGATTTGTGAATTCCCCACCTAAACATTGGTCATCTTAAAAGCCTAAGAGAAAGTTTACATTGCTGACAATGTGCAAAAGGGGCCATACCTATTATAACTAAATGCTATTAATCCAGTACTTGAGCTGTTCCTGAAGATTCCATGCGATGCACCTGCCTGAATGTAGCTTTATAGTTAAGCATACGTAAGGTTTTATCAGAGCTCTATACCATCAGTGTGAGGGAAGATACGACGGAAACTTGATTTGGCTTTTTGGTGCAAGTATCTGTATCAAGAGCACCTTAAATATCTTGAAAACTGCGTTTGTGTAGATTTTAGAATTCTCAACCAGACAGTAAATGCGAAATGTTAACTTCCTATTAGAAATGAGGAATTATTTTATATGGATTGACTCTGCACACCACTTAAGACATGCAGTTACTGCGTATCACTACTCAAAGTTTTGGATACTACTAGCACATTACCAGTAGAGCACCTGGTCATTTAACTTCGATATAATAATAAAGGTCAATTATTCTGCAAAAAAATTACTTCTTATATAATTTGAAAACTGCTCCAATTTTTAAATTAACCTACTACTCATAACTGACTGATGAACAAAATCCCCAAGCTGCCCATATCCTCACTACTAATTAAGTGTATATTTGTTTCTTTTCTTTTTTATGAAAACGAAATTTTTATTTCTAATCTCCTCATAAAAAGGAGCGCTAAAGTGTTGTTCGACAATTGGGGGATGGCGTTGTCGCTCGACAACGCACAAGGAACGATCTTGACAAAGCCGACTGATTGGCCCACCGTGTGCACGCGACGACCTTGAGGCGACCAATCAGTGCACTGCACCAAGGATGCGCCAAGCAGGTCTTGGCACAATGTAGCGCAACATTGGCAGCCAAATCCTCTGCGGCAGCGGCGGCGAATCTACCTAGCCTTTGCAACATGATGCTCACTTTTCTTTCGCAGCTAAAGTAAGGTTGATGAACTAAAAATGTCTCATTCTAGTCCCGGTGAAAGTACATCAACTTAAAACTATTGCCTTAGGGAAGTAAGAGAGTAAATTGTGAGTTAGAACTATTCTAAATTAAATTTTTTTTACTAGAATAGCTGTTACGAAGAGAAAAAAAATCACATTGTGACAGTCACGATCCTCTAGAAGTGATTTACATAAGATAATCCTGAACCTATCCGCTAAAACGCCACCTTCGACGTTAGGGAGGGTATGATATATTGTAACCGTATGTCGCCTGTCTAACGCTGTAAAACTGAGTTCGCCTTTCCGAAGTACTTGCTTGTCGAGGAATTTCCCAATCAAGCATCTTCTAACGTGGTTTTCATACTTTATTTCTAGGTACAGAATGACACATCAGACGTTTCCTTGACGTCTTATCTGCATCTAGCCATTTTTCAATCTACAAGTGGTTTACACACATGCGATTAAGAATGAATGCTTTATGCCAACTAAAGTGGCATTTTAAAAGTCCATCCATTGGTGATTATGTTAGTGACTTCTCGGTGTTCATTTACTCCCAACGACCTCACTACGCCTTATACAGTCGTTTCTTATCTGGAAACAGCAGTTGATTTTCATTCAAAAGTGGCTATTAATGAGTTGGGAAATTAATATAAAACCGAGTTTAATTATCAGCCCCCGATTAGGCGACTCTTTCCTCTAGTCTACTTATATACACAACCGCAAGACTTCAGCCAATCATCAAGTGGGTGCCAGGGACATTGGCTGAACCGAACAAAGACTATCAACCCCTGAGCATGATCATGTATGCCGTAAAGGGACCAAAGTGAACCGTTCCTCTTTGTTTTTTGGTCGGAAAGGAGGTAAATCAGTTATGGCCCGCTACAGCTTCATGAAGGTCTTAAATTTGTACCAGTCCTACTGATGGGGGCAGTGTATGTATGAAACGGCACAAAAAATACTGGTGGTTTGGGTAAAGTAGCTAAAATTTATCATTCACATCGTTGGTGAATGGTTAGTAGAGAACCTCCTTTACTCTCTACCCGCATTAGATCGCCATCTGCTGCGAGCACACTTTTGACCTTTTCTATGTATTAATTTAGTTAATGGTACAATTACGGTTGAAATTGCATATTTATTCCCGTACTGCACTTTGTCAGCAGTGCTGATTTGCCGACCGACCTGTAGGAGTCTTCAAAGGTTTCTATTTATCCAAACTACGTCTCCAGGAGGGTGCAGTAAAGTACTCATTTCCGACCTTCAGGACAAAAAACACTAAACTAAGGAGTTTAGGTTGTAATCAGTAACAACAAATGCTGAGTTTGTTCCAGCTATCATTCCAATGGTGGAATTGGTGTTCACCGAAGGCTATAATCGTTGTCAAGATCACTCTTAAAAAGGTCAAAGTGAGAACAACAGTGCCTTTTAAGACGGTACTGGATGACTTCTAACAGCCCTCCCCTGCGCACCTCAATTCCCATCTGTAAACTCCGCTTGCTGCTTAATTTTTTTCATGAAAATAGGTCTTTTGGTCATCAGTTTATATTATGGAAACCGACGTACATACATAAATCAAACAGAAACGAAGACCCTTCTGGTCACAAGGTTAGACATGCAAATGACCCTCCGATTAGTCATTTGGAGGGAAAAGCTCAGCAAGCCTGTGTAAGTAATATCATGACTTCGCCCACTTCCAAAGCCAATGAATCATTTCCCTGCACCATAGCTTCAGTCAATGAAACCATTATTATTCAAGTCTCGCAAAGCCGTCTGGATGTTTGCTGAATGCCAGTGGCTAGATCTTTTGCTAATGAATACAACACGTGAGTCTCGTGTGAAGGTTGGAAGGGTGCTGCAAATTCTGTTGCTCACTTTAAAATCGCCTCATTCTAGAAAAGATGGCTGAAACTTTACGCTGGACTTCTGTTGGACTTGTCTTTTATACCTGTCGTACAATGCAACACATTTGTAGCTATGCGTCCATTGTACCTGTTCTGGTGTCCAGGTTTCACCTTGGTAGCATGAACTTCTGATAATGTATATTACAAAGCGGAGGAAGTTTATTATGAGCCTACAGATCGACTGTGCAGCAAATAGCGTAGGCACCATGGGTAGAGTGGAGTCAAAGGAGGATGGATAGGCATCTATAGGCTCTCTCACTATGCCTCTCTCCATGCAATTGGTCCACATGTGCTCATAAATCGCTACATTTCCTGCATCTCCTTTGTTCACCTGTTGCTATGGCTTTGGGCGTCAGCGAGGAAAGTAGGCTCATCGCCTCATTTCTCACGATGGCACGTTGGAGAGGTGGAAAGCTCCCCGCCTATGTGGAGAGAGTTCCCTTGGCTAGAAGACGCAAACCCGATACGTGGATGGTTGTTGGAGTGGAAATTGCGTTAGTTTTCGTGGCTATTTGCACAGGAGTTTTTGTTTATTATCGAGCCCATGATCTGCCCTTTTATGCTACGAAATTCTATGCCCACCTGGGCTCTTCCGTAAGTTCCGTGCATTAAGACCTTTTTTTTATTTTTGCGTTTTTAAACACTTAGTCTGGTTTAAATGAGAAGACAATCTAGAATCAGGTACTGGAAGCTGTTTTCTTAGAAATCGTCACTACTTTTCACAAGATACGGATTTTTATGTTCTTTCTTGGCATAAATCCCACTTTCTGTTGCTATTAACTTATGCCAAACTTTATTGCTAGATTGGAATTTTGTATTCTCAAATAGCTTTACTAACGCTAAGTTTAAGCTGTTTAGCCAACACTGAAAGTGAGAGACTTTGGTGGTTCCGAATCTTGCGGTCCTTGTCTATGTTACGTCCAGACCGAATACCAGATGGCGTGTGTGTGGACGCAATTCCTTATCAAGCGCCCATTCCTAATATGAAGTTTTTTTCACTATAAAATCTTAAACTTTCTGTAGTAAGTACTGCCAATACATTTATATCGGATTTATGCAAAAGCTCTCCTTCCTTATTTATTTAAGTACTAGAATATCCGGAATAGTGATCCTAGATACTTTCAGATCAGGGCTGTCGAATTCCTTGAGGGGTATCACGGCTCAGGCATTGAATTTTGCAAAGAACTTTCTGTGCAACTTGTGATTGACTAAAAAAGCGATTGCTTGGAAAGTAGAGAAACATTCTTCTGTGAAAAAATAAACGTTCTCACTGCTGCGTCTTATCACGTGAAATGATCATAACTGTGACACCGTACCCATCTGTCAGGATATGTGTATGCATGTACTCAACACAAGTGAAGTACTTAAGAAAGAAAGGTAGGAGTAGGTGAAATGGAGAACAAAATAAGTCACATATACAATTTGATTGCATCACTTGAGATAATTCAGCTCTCCCGGGTCCCTAGGTTCACTCAAACACTGCTACTATCCACCAAGGTTTATTCCGATGAGGCACACAAGTTATTCGAAGCATAGGGAAAGTTTACCTCAAACAAAGCTTTTTCTATGAGAATTTAACTTAAGTGATTACCTTTGGTTAAATTATGCTAACATTTGTCTGCTCCATTGTTGTCTACATATACAAATACTTAGCCTATTTGAGTAGTATGAGATGCACTTCGTCTGGTGGTCTCATTGAGGTAGCCGTGTGAATGTATTATTCAAAGTTATAATACCAAATTTGTCTATGACTCGTTCATGTGGACCACAGTAGTCTATAGAAGAGAAAAGTTCCTTCAAGTATGGAGTCAGGACCTATCAACTTGACATTCAAGCATTTTCAATACAGAATACAGGGCATTCAAATTTGGAATTAACTTCCTTTTCATTTTCCCTCCTTGAAAAAGCTACAAAACATACCACTTTGGCAGAAGATTTGCAATTATTAAACAGAAGAGCCGAGAGGTCATGTACAAGGTCGAGGCTCTATTGCACCAAGGTGGTGACCCCAATGCGAAGATTGAAGAGCCCACGGAGTTGAATACTTTGCTAAACCAGTCATTTTAAGGAAACTTATTGACATTAGTTAATAATCTAGTCTGTAATCTGTAATTGAGTCTTTGATCTGTCTAGGTACCTGTTCATCGACTCCAAACTCCTTCTTGATTCACTTTGTAGCAGCAGTCGTGCATAACCAAGAAAATTCCTACATCTATTTAAAGTTTGTCAACAACGAAAAGTAATGTGAAAGGAGATAAAGGTGTATTAAACAGTGGCAGCTCCGGTCATTAGGCTTGACGTATTTCCAACTGTCATGATAGATTCCATTTTAAAACCCGAAGATGTCCATGATTTTTGCGGTCAGCAATAGCTCTTCATCCAGCAAATTTCTTTCTCAAAAGTAAAATCACGAGTCTATATCACAGGCTGGATAAAGATAACTCCTTCTACCATATTTTTGCCACAACAGACTACAAACCTTCCGTTTGCTTATCAAAAGATGGACAATCTTCTCCTATAGACAACAGTTGTGTGTCATTCTTATAGGAGGCGCAGCACCTATTGAGCCAGTACTATCTCAGCCGTCGGGACGAGGATCCAGAGCATGCTAAACAAGCTGAACACTGGCTCACAAAAGCAGCCGAGGCCGGTCACGGCGTCGCATCCTATAACCTGGCAGTGGCCCACATCCGCGGCGACCTGCCTTCCAACTCCACTCCAGAAGCGAGTCATCTCCACAGACTCCTCTCCCAAGCTGTCCAGCAAGGTGTTCATGAGGCACTTGGGTTGTTGCACTACTGTGGACATGGCCAGTGCTTCAAGCAACAAAGGAGGAGGCGACAACAAGAGCGGCAGTTACGGGATAAACAACTGCATAGTTCTTTGGACCGTGACCCCTAAAGACGCTCATCCGTTCATGTCTGAACTTTAAACTTACTGTATGTTTGCAAAAACCTTTTATTTTTGTGTCTAATGCAATGTTGTGTTGTTTGCGTCGCACCAAGGTCACAGTGGATCTTCGGGCTTGAGAGCCTAGATGTATTACTAGTCAAGCGGGACACCTTCACGAATCTTTGTACTAATTTATCTGCTGTTCAAAAACTAAAAATGCAATTGTCATCGATTTAGCAACGTCCTACACACAATTTATTGTTCAAATGTTTACGGTGCAAATGTGGTGTAATCGGTTATTATCAAATGATAAAGAAAGTATGTCACATATGTGTGACGTCAGAATAGGATGAGAAAATAATGGGACTCGCATAAAATTGACAATAAAATAAGCCTTTAAGCATAAAGCCTCACAAATGCACGACTTGTAGCAAGCTTAAGGGCTACAAGAGATTTACGGTAAAGGAAGTCAAACAGAGGGCACAAAGTAAGAATTGCGGGGTGGAGCTGCCCAATAAACTGCTTTATTTACAATGACGGCAGTAGCAGTAGTAGATTTAGTAACAAGAAAAGACTTCAAAAAGTCTACTGTCCAGTGATTGCATAGCTTTTTGTGTCTGTGTGCAAACGTTGCAAAATTTTAACAATTTATGTAGTGACTTCAGCAGCGACCCTGTGGAGGATGATACTCAGTAGCACTCTTTATAGAGTTTGCCTGGACTCACGTGTTGAAGGCCGAAACACTTCTAAAGGCTAAATAATGAGTTTGAAATAGGCTAAAATAATAGTTCCGACTTAATTTAAACAACTGTTGTTACTCGTCACCACAGCTCTAAAGCCTAACAAATTTTATTAAATAGCCTTTCGTGATACTAAGGCTTACCGCTTTGAGGCGATTTATCAACACGCACGATTCAAAATTTTCAAGAAATACACACTTCCGGTTTATCAGAAGGCAACTTTAAGGAGTGCTTAGGAAGACAAACCCGCTTTTGGAGGTTGAAAGAGTGATATTTGTGCAAATGGGACTTTTCAATTGGACAACTAAGATATTTTAAAACGGAAGAATACCATGGACTTCACAGTTGATGGTGTGGTGATAAGCTCTACTTAATATTCGCTTTTACTCACAATTTAGCCTACTTTGAAGTAGGAAGCGTAAATAGTCATTTTGACGTCCATCATTTTGTACGCCCCGGGGGTTTGCAGTCTTGAGTCTAGGTAGACCAACTGAATATTTTGGGGTTAGGTAATTGGGTCTTTGCTCACTTTAAAGGTAATTCCTAGTTCACTTCACAGGCGATTCCGTTAAAAAGCGGATTTTGGCGAATGAGCGACAAGATGGCAAAAAACAGAACACAAATGCTCCTGACAACGATCTTATTTCATCAAGCCGTATTCAATGACCAGTTTAACGGTGATGTGCCTTCCATATTCGGGTAATAAGAGCGAATCAAGCAGAAAATTTTACGCGATTTTATCCAAGTTGAGGTGCTTGCCGGTTCAAATTAAGACAAGAATAACCTTTTTGTGTTTATAGTACAAATTTGTCGTATAAATCACCGGTACCGTCAACAAAGCCGCGAAACTGGATCTAAACGTGACCTCCAAGTTTCAATATGCACGAATCGGATAGACAGTTTTTTAAGCATGGCAGCATTTTTTACCGACTGTTTAGGGATTCTTTGACACTTACAGTCTTCAAATTGTAAACTGCCTGGATTGCACCGTATCAATTCATTAACTTTTGTCTCAAGGACTTTAGAACGAACAGTTTTCTGAAGGAAGGTTTCCTTCCTCTCAAGTAAGACCTCTGGAATTGCTTAGCACTTAGTTCCGATGGGAACGCTGAAGTGCCCTGTTAATATTTGCATCAGTGGAGAAAAAATGAATTTAAACGTTCCATTTTTTCACTCTGTTAACCCGTAAAATGCTGCAGCAATCCACTTGCACTGTTTTGGCGCCATTAGAAATTCGCTCCTTGCATTTCAGTGAACCTATCTTCGGTAAATCTGTGACGCACAAATTTTAAAAAAATTCAACAAAGTCACCTGACAACTATTGGTCTTCGTACCAAAGGAGACGCATAAGCCAACCTTCTTTTAGCACCCATGCAAACAGTGCGTCACGTAGGATTCGCTGACGTTATTTCGTGAGTTATGACCTCATTCAGGCTGATACCCTTTTGGCCTTGCATCAAAAAATCAGACAGAAGGGTTTTATTTTGATAGAATTTTCCACTTGGCTTATTGTTTATTTGATTTTGCAGGTGAATTTATCAAAATTGCTTGCCTTTTAAATGATTGCCCGCATAAAACCTCCCCTAAAAAGATGGCTCTTTGAATTTCCCTCCTCTTCCAAATCCTTCACTCACAGCTCTATAGACAGTACTGATTTAAAATGAGCGGTTCATTGCTACTAGCAAATGACTACCGGGTGCGGTGGTGGGTGTCGCCTATCACGCACACCTTTATTGAACGGCCATTGATTTTTGAGGCCACCTACCGATTTTACATTGATTTTTTCGGCCAGGTTCACAGCGTTCCGCTTGGTAATAAGCGGTGCCTCACACCCACATTTTCACATAACCAGCAGTAAAAAAGGCCTATATTTGGGAAGTAGAAAGCAATGGATGAATTTAGATGAATTTGGGAGTTTCAGATTATACTTTTGCAATAAAAAAGAGGAATCGGCAATAATTTAACGCCTAATTGTGGGGCTCTAAAATCTCCCCCAAAGTCGGAAGAAGTCAAGGTACTAGGACAGAATATGCATTACCAAGGCACAGATGTCGTAGACAGCTGCGTAACAAACTTCTTCACACAATTTATAGCTAGTCTTGCTTTAGTTGTTGATAGAACTCCCGCCGAACAAGGAAGTGGGGTGGTTGCTGGAAGTGGTTGTCAATTACGACCCTTCTGTAGGGAGTCGTCAAATATTCGCCCATCAGCATTCTAGAATGGAAATCAAGGCAGCTGTTCGTTAGGATCAAGTTGGCTTTCCGCTGCCAAGAAGTTAGCACCCCGAGTCGTGAGAAGGGCTGAGAGGAGGCTATGCAGGCCAGAGGAAGTACAATTGCAGGGTCTTAAGTGTCTGTGTAACCAAAACTAGGAGCTAAACAAGTAATTCAAGTATGTCATATTGGCCTATATTTTTTTGCATTCTTCTGAATGCAACAAATTTATTAACTTTCAGCTACGTACTTGTTTTTATGGTTAAAATATCAGGGTTCAAGGCGCCTTCATTTGACCTGAGATATGCTGTTATGTGGTAATTACATGGATTTTGGTAATTTAAGTCGACTCCACCAGCAGTTTAAGAGAATTTCGTGCTTACCATCTGGATAGCTCAAGCACGTCTTAAATACTTTACAAAGGTCAGGTTATGACTGATACCCTCCTGTTGACCTGGAAGACGTATAAGTGATTCCAGTCCACTTCGATTCGCCTCAAAAATATATTAAATGATAGGAGGAATCGAGTTCCATTTCTGACATCCCTTTCACTCATTAATTCGGGTGGTAACAGGAGAAGAAATGTATTCATTTTCCTATTTCACTAAATTTGATGATAACTTATGCTTAATTTGAGTGAAATGGAAATGGAGTGGTGATTCATCAGCGATATCTGACTCATTCGGATGCTTATTTGCTCTTTAAACTTGTCGGCATAAGTGAAGAATAATGCTGGGGCCACTCGTGTACATCCTTCACCTCGCCTCGATACGGCGTCATAAATGCGATGATTCAATGCAGTGCGACAATTTAATGGCATTGGACTTCACATGTGGAGCATTGTGCTTCTTACTCACCCTTTAAAAACAAACTCTAAAACCCATTGGCATTGAAAATGAAGGTCAGCTTAGGGGGCATGACCTCGACGCCCTGTGATAGGCTGACATATCAATAACCTGAAGCAGAATGTTGTGACACCGACAGCGGTCTGTAGTCACAATGAGTTGCTCTTTGTTCATTATTTACCAAGATTAAAGTCATAACTGTTGTTAAGTGTATCTGGGAGGATAATTTCTTACCAAAATGTAACTTTATCGGTTACTTGCTTACAGGAGTTTGGCAAGTCAAGGAAATAAACGTGGAGGAATGGCGAGGAAAACAATTGCCACGGTAACATTCAATAAGTTGCGACAAGTGACTCTTGAGTGGGACCATAGAATTCACCGAAATGCAGAAAAGGGAACAGGAGGTGTCAATTCTATTTGTACTTCATCATCTAGCTCCAACATTGAATTAGCTAATTAAGAGGCTCATAAACCCAACTGATGGAAATTTCCAGTTATACTTAGGAGAGGAAGAAATGATTGAAGAGACGTGGATTTTATGGAGCTCTTCCCCTACTAAACAGCTTCTCCTGTGATTTCTGTGGATATACTTCCCATTCGACCGTAAAGAGGCCTCCTGCGAACCTTAGTCGAAACTGAGAAAGGATTAATTTCTCTCATTTTAACAAAGGAATTAACTTCTGTTGTGTCCTCTGTTAGCTGAAATGTGCCAAGGCGAGATCAATTTGGAAGAGAGCACTTGAAGGTCATGGTAGCTAAATTTATATGACAGTTTTAAGGCTGTTTCATGCCGATTTTCTACATCAAGCCTGACTCATGCGTTACTCGCTCTTCTAAAGATCAGCCCAAAATTGCTGGGATTACAAACGTGCCTTGCTGATCCTGGAGGTCAACTTCTATTCATCACCATGCTCGCTACTACCGCCGCATCTAAGCAAAGCCAATTTTCCCCCGAACTTACCACCACACAGGAGTTGCGTGAGTTTTGGACCACCTCATGATAATCCTTCCTACAAAGTCAACCTAGCAAACAGATTATTTGGATATCATTCCCCAAAATTACCTATTTTGTTTATTTAGGATCTTATGACCACGTCATACTGAAATTCTAAGCACTTGGAAACACAATAGAACATTAAAGCGAATGACGCGGCTGTCGGCCTGTATAACGGATGTGTGAAAACCGGACCTTGCTCTATTAATAGCCGTCCTACAGAGCTGGAAAATAGGGTGGTTTCCAAGCCGGCAGGATTTTAACCATCCTTTTCCTTCGAGTAGCTGTAGAGTCAACTGTGGACGGAATCAGGAGTGGTGTTTGTTTGGACCGGATGGCTCACTGCTGCCAACAACGTAATCCACCCTCGACATCTGTGAAGAAGCAATAAGGTATGCTGGTCTATTAATAGATATAAGATTGACAAAGAGAAGTTCTGGGTTGTAAAGACGTTTTGTTATAAAAAGTAATGAAATTCGCTTGAATTAATTACTGTTTCTATTCCACGACTCTCTACTTGCTTAAAACAACGTCAGGAAGGTAAGGGATCCACCCTAGGCACAACAAGAATTTTAACCTCCATCTACGCATGTACGCCTGTTCTAAATGCGCTACCTCCAAGGAGGTGTGTTTATGCTACTGTAAAATTCCAGAGGCGGCAGCGTGTTCTGACGCGTTGTTATGCCTGTTCTGCAAACATGTCCGCACTTGCTGAGAATGTGACTAGCACTTAACGCATGTACGTGTCATTCATGTCTCATCTCTTGTAGTCCTCCCTTTTGAGTGTTGAACGTCCGGCTCTTTGCCGGGCATAACAAAACCCTAATAATGTGATTTGATTTTAAAATATGATTATTCAAAATGTTTCATTAAAACATGCTGCTTAAAGCTGTTCGAATGTTCTCGAAGTGGACCTTTTGACCTGGGCTCAAGCCAAGCTCCTTTTATTTTATTTCCCACTCTTTTCCCGCTCTAAAGTGGACACGCGGACGTCTTTTAACATGCATAAATAGTCTTTTGTCTTGCCATTCTATTTAAGAAAAAAAAGCATGTTTTATTCTTCTGGTAATCTGAAAAGCTTCAGAGCCACGTGACTAAACTTTTAAAGTTTCAAGTCCTTACTTATGTATGCATCTTTTCATTTGTTCAGGTAAAAGCATTCTTCTACATCCACAGAACAGTCAAATAGAAGGGCAAGAATTTCACTGTGTACTGGGATATGAGTCACGGAAGGGTTTATACCAGAACAATTAATCCCTTAATCTTAGAGATCCGATTGAGAGAACACCCTCTTTCACAACCCCTAGCTGACATGTTACCGTCGTGGAATCAGTTCACCCACATTCGGCCAGTTCGACATTCCGGTTCGCGGACACTGGGATAAATGCGACAGGCAGTAATATCATGACTGTGCTGCTCCAACTCGGCAGAAAATAAGAATTTGGCACACTGTCAAATTGAAATTTATTCCCACATGGGTGGAAGGAAGACTTGCGTGTGATGACCATACTACCAGTCTCCCAAGTGTTCCTACCTTCTTGGAATTGTCACCTAACATCTTTATAAGCAGTACTAGGAACAACTATTAAACTACATAAGTTAAGGACTTGGGAAGAAAGAGAAGAAAAAGAAGAAGAATGTATTATTGAGAGATTATGATATTTTCAGACAAAGTCACTTCTAGTGCAATAAATGCTGTAACCCATCCTGACTCAGTAGGAGAGTTTATCTTTTCATTTCCAAGATTAGTTTCTACCAACTTAACGAATTTAAAATCCACTACTGAAGAATAAGCGTGGCAGAGGTGAGACCGAAGGGGAACTGCTTTCCTCTGAACTAAGGGTTAGACTGTTATCGTCCCAATTTTCTGCTATAGCGAGGAGGCCTCTCTGCCTTACGCATACCAGCCAAATAAGACTCTAAAGACGTAGAACAATGTGTCTTTTACTGCCAGAGTATTCTGAAAATTCATGTATTTGTTTAGCGATCATTATGGCTTTTTGACCTAAGAAGTACCTTATCAGCAGCAGCCGTCAGAATCAATCAAAAATTATTCTGTCGGGTGGCATTCCTTTTCAGGGCATTTCTTGATATTCTTTTAGCATTCTTTGGTACCGAAGGCCCAACTGTACCATGAGTAATTACGACATTCCATTAGCCACGTCTGCACAGTGTGTAGTCTTTTTTTGATAGTCAATACATGCATTCTCCGGATCAAGTTACCGAGAAGACCGCAGTAGGTATAGAGAAATATCAGGACATTTGCTACCAAAACGGCCAATTCTCTAGGATACAAGTCAAAAGACCGTGACATATATCCTGTAATCTGATTTAGTTAAAGTAGATGGTCTCTTGAATGCTTAAGTTACGGCGGAATCCTCCCTTGTAAGGAGCTATATCAAGTACAGAGCTTAATTTGACCAATTTAGAAGTAATATTTTTAGATTTTATAGCTATTCCTAGTTTTTGTTTTGATAAGATAGCAGTGGACTCGGTGTCCCTCTCACCTCTGCCTTCATGCTCTTAGAATGAGCAGACGAGTTGGCCGTGGCCGTCCTCTATGGGTACAGATGTCACGGTTTAGCGAGGCTCGTATTTACTGACCACCTCTAGCCCAAAAGCTACATTCAAACAACTGTATTATAAACCTTTCTTTGCTTCACCCTTTTAATGCTGGTGAATACCACTTTGTTTCTCCAGGTAGGCTAAGTCATTCGAATGGTAATATTTTCAAAGTAAACCACTAAAAGATTTACTAACTGAAATTTTGTAAAAGTCCTTTTTTCTATTTATTTGCATCTTCCACTCCTGGAAATTATGTTTTTTTTTTCAAAGCATGGTTAATTGCAATTTAGCAAAGGAGAGGGCAAATAGAGTGGTACTTTAGCACGAAAAATTGGTAGGACATAAGACCTCCAAGATAAGGAAAAAATGACGTTTGTGCATTGCATTCTCTAGAAAAACAAAATTGGCATTACAAAATTTGAATGCCATCAATTGTCAATTTTTTTTCTAGAAATCTGCAGTAAAAGTACGTACCAACTGGGGTAAGGCATAAACAAGGGCAAAAGAGTATCAGATATGCCAATTTGTTCGACAAATTGGATTTATTTTTTCACTAAAAAGATTTGCTCGGCAAAAAGTGAGAAACGATGAGGAAAAGTGAATTTTTAGCTACCACCAAACTTATCTAGATCCCACTGCTTTCTCAATTAGGATATTCAAATTACACAACATTGATAATTCTCATTACCTACCCTAATTAAGTATTAAGAGGACGGCTTTGATAGGCTGATAGTGGCAAAACTAATGTAACTCACCGAGGCTTACCTGAAGACGCAAGAATGCATAATACTCGGGCCACTGTCACGCCTAGAAGGCCCTGCCGCCCAGCGTGGCCAGTCCTCAATACGGATAATTAACCAAACAATTAAAGTATTACGCCTTAAAAAAAAAAATACATTTTATTGACCTAATATGAAACATTGGCAACTTGGTGTGTTTGTCAACACCCCGAATTCTCTGTCTTTACTATCACACCATGCAACTTAATAAAACAGTATTTTTATAAAATCATGACAGTTTTGTCGAATCCTTCCCCCTCTCCACCTCTCACCCTCTTCACAGATGGTTCAAGTTTATGCCATGACTTTTGACCTGTTATGTCGCAGGCGCCCGCATATCCTTCACAGGTACCAGTCCGCCCCCATAACGGTACCATAAAATCTGAGTTCTTGGCAAATTTCAAGGAGTAATCTCGGATGATCCCCCACTGCCAGCAGTCAAACACCTAAAGTAGCATTTTTGTTTCCAATGGAGGCATCCTGATACTATTTTAACAGCTTACCAGTTTATGTTATTTTTTCAGTTTGCAGTCCACCTGTTTCCCATCTATGTCAAGATTGACGTCCCTGACGTTAGCAAGAGGCTCTTTTATTAGCACTCCTTTTAATTGTTTGGTCAGTCGTTTTCAGAGGAGGGAAGAAGCCTACAATCCAGTTAGCAACATGGCAAATTAAATAATTAAAGTAATAACGTTATAGCTGAAGAGTAAGTATTATACACATTAAGTAGATGGGGGTTTGATTAGTTTAGCCTCAACTTATAAAATAGATCCCTTTCAAGTCATTCCACATTTGAGGGTGTACACTTGGGATCCGAATGGGTAAATTCTACAGTGTAGTGAGTAAGTTGGGCTGGGTTTAACAATCAGTGAAGATTTAGCGTCGATGGATTAGTCTACAACAAAATGCTTCCACAATCCACTAAGAAATCATGCCATAAAGGCGTCTTTTGTTACACTTACTGGAGTAGCGCCTTGTAGTTTGCCTCAATCCATAAAATTAAGGTTTGAAAGACCTGAGCTAATTGCTACATACTTTCGGTTTGTTTAAAAAAATATCTCGATTTTATAAGTTAGAAGGATGAATTATTCGTCGACGAGTAATGTCTTGACAACGCACGCGCGTTTCCTAGTTTTCTCTCGACCTCGACTTTTGTTTCAAGTGTGCATGAAATCAGACAAATTTGATTACATTGGCAACTTTAGGCCCTGTTCAGCTGCCAACATCGAGGCTTCAAAAGTCAGTTGACACTACTGTCTTCCAACTAGACGTGGTGAAGTGGCTTTTAAAGGCCATAAAAGTGGCTTATTCTTAGTCATGCCGTATTAGGAAAAAAGTTTTGTGGTAGAGGGCCACTTTTCTACACTGGCTGCTTAAATGTCCACTTCTGTCTGACACTTCTGTAGCGGACACCAGTGGCAGCTGTCGCGTAAGGTAGACGAAAGGTATTGAAAACCTCGGTTACTGGGAGAATCCAATTAGGTCTATTTGGAATGTTATCTTAGGTGAATATAACACTAGGTGAGATTTTAGCCAATCACAATGGTAGCCTGTCGGGCTTCTAGAATTTATGCCTTTAGTTGTCTCTTCCTGTAGCCTTTTCGAAGAAAAATGGAGCACAAAAGAGGGTTGGAGAAATTTTTTTTTTTTAGTAACTATTGGTAAACATTTGTAAGATGTCTCTTCTAAGTGGAATGATGTCATCACTAAATCCTCCGAGAGGTGTTGTATGCAATGGAGGATACAATTTTCTTCCCTAAAATTCGTTTTCTCTTTAGCAAATTGGCAGGCATTTGTTGGAAAGAATTAAGTGGCACATTAATCACTTGCTTTATGGAAGAAACTGCCGATCACTGTTAATCAGGGATTTTGTGGGGAGAATAAAATTGGCGGTTTGAAGAGATTTAATAAAATGGACAAAGTTGTTTAAACTGCCGACTCTTTGGTGATAACACACAAGTCTCACTTTGAAACTTCAAATTAAGACATGTGAGTGGGATAAATTGGTGGTTCGCATCACATCAACTTGGGATTAAGTTGTACAAATTGTCTTGTATGATGAGTTTTAAGGGATCTTTGGTCATTTTCAAGCCCCACTTTTAGCTTATTCCTTGAATTAATGTTAATGGGTATGTAGCTGTATACATCAAATAGCCATCTTTATGCATTGAGCACAAAAAAATGTGACAACTTGTCAGTGGGTATGACGTGATGATTTGGGAGCCGTCAATTGGAGGTTCAAATACCAGTACCCGAACAGCATCTTGTCATTTACAAGGAATTTTTGAATAAGTTACAAATGCTTATTCGCCTTTATTTCCAATACTAGAAACATGGAAGGAGAAAAGGCCATAATTCCGTCTGAAAATCGTTTTTTTTGGCTTCACAAGAGCCAAGAAGAAGGTTCGCAAAAGAAAAGGCATTCCTTTTGAATTACGTATAGTGAATTTGATTGTAAAAGTTAAAAATGGATGTCCTAGAACAACCTAAAGAATTTTTTTTCTCAAGACGTTTACTGTCAATCGTAGAACACACTCGATGTCCGCAGTTCAGACATCTCGCTGTTCTAATGGTATCAACACTAAAACAACTAAACTTACGAACTCGGCTGCTACTTAAAAAGTAAAAACTGCTACTGCCTTCATGCTAGGAACAACCTACGTCAAATCTTTTACTATAAATTCAGCCAACCCTATGATGTATGTCTAGGTATAGCCAGTTTCCGCAGACTGGTGAGGAGCACGTATTACGTTGCAGACTTTAAGAAAATCAGGGTGTCATCTATGGATAATGTTAATAGGGAATATATTAGTCCACTGGGAAAAGCTTGTGCCTTGTATTTTCTCAATCGATGAGTGGGAAATGGGACAGTATTACGAGGCTGTAACCCTATTGGGGGAGAGGAGAGGGAGGGGGGGGGGCATTCATACATCCACCCCTACACCCCACCTGAAGCCCCTCCCAATAAAAACCTTTCGGGCTGTGAATTTCAATGCGAGCGTTTTTATCGGGAAAACAAGAGGAGGAAATGGTGCCTAAA